AAGAAAACAAACATAGGGTTACTAAGAAAGTACTTAAACGAATAATTAAAACCCTAACTAACCTAAACGTAGCTTTCAAAAGGTCCACCTTTTGGAAGTGCTTGGGTTATAGAGTTTTATCATCTTTTTTTTAAGTTTTTTCATTAAAAATGTCAAACATTCACATTTTTGCCATGGAACATGGCAACCAAAGTACAAGGTCAGACCCTTAAAGTGGCAGGACTACATTTGAAAACCCTTTGCTTTTCATAGGGTCAATTCCATGTTTGGTGTTCAAGAGGAGGATCACCAAGAAATCTCTATTTTAGCCCAGAAAGAAGGAAGATCTTTTAATGTGATCTATAAATAAGCACTGAGAGTATCAACAAACACTAAGGCTGTAGTGAGGGATCAGTAAAAGTAATAAAGTAAAGTATTGTAACATCATTTCTGTAATGTGGAATAAAGTAGTTGTAAAGTAAATTGTGTAAAATCGATTATGCATATAAATACAAATTCTTGATTTAATTATTAGTTCAAGATCTACATTTAATCCTTATGCCCCTAGAATTAGGACGGGCATTAATAATAATTTGCATAACTGTGTAAAAAATCTAAGGAATGTACAAACATCAAGGAAGTTATTAGCATAATGTTAAATACTTTGCTAACTATAGGTGAGCTATAGTTTGCTAAAGTTTGAAAATCAATGTAACTACAAAAAACAACATTTACAGTTCAGATGCAGTTGAATATTTCAAAACTCCCTCTCTTCCTCAACAAACACCAGGTATGCTATTGTGTTATCAGTCATCAGTAAACTTCCTACTCACCCCAGTTCTGTCATGCCACTCGTAAATTCTTCTTTTGTAAATTCACACTGAGTAGCTGCTTTGAACTTCCATGCCATGATTAAGACCAATCTACTTTCAGGATTAAGACAGAGATCATCTAAAAGCCTCATGATACCATCAACTGTAATTTTGTCAGGTTCCTGAGGGTCTGAAAATGAAAAACTTTCTTAATTTTCAAGTTCTCTTTTATGATTAAAAATAAAGAAGGGTGGTTAACTTGATTACCTATAAGAATCAATTACTTCAGTTAGCATCACGTAAAATAATGTATTAATTGAAATTACAAATAATTCAATAAATGTCATGAAAATAATCAACTAATCAAAATTAGTGTTTATGATTATTACTATTTTAAATCATTCCAACTATTCAAGTCTCATGTGACAATAATCAATTAGTTGAATGTAAATAATTAATGAACCTGACAATTAATTGATTAATAAATTCCACTAATTACCAAGCTCTAATTAACAACCCTCAGAATTAATGTTTTTTAAGTATACATGTAACTTCTAGTTAATACAAATCCAAAACTAGCAGGGACCAACCCATCAGATTTCAAGAGGGCCTATGTTAGGTGAATGGAGAAAATTTGAAATACAATGCAACATTTATGGAAAAATTTTATTCAGTCTAAGTTAGGTCTTATATTAAGTCATGTCTATTAATATTAGTGCTAATAAGTCTACCACATTTAGTGGCGTTAAAAAAAGTCATACTTTTGAAAATATTCAAAAACACAGATTCCGGTTAAATTTAAAATTCACGCATATCTAACACTTAATAATAATAATAATACTTAACATGACAGGTAACTGAAAATGGTGTATAATGTAACGTAATTCATGGTGTAACTTCAGAGAACACAGGTCACTCTGTAAGAACAGATATAGTAAAAACAAATATTGTGAGATGATAAAACTTCCCAATAAAAACTAAACATCTAAACATAGAAATTTATGAAGTTCCTCAAGTTTGTGGGGTGGGGGGATGATAAAACTTTCTAATAGGAATTAAACATCTAAACAGAAATTTATGAAGATTCTCAAAGTTATCTACATCATTGAGAAATGAGGCCAAATATCGGCTCCAACATCTAAGGTAGTTTAGTCCCCAACTTGTGAAATTTGAATAAAACCAAAATTAACAGTAGCAAAGATATTTCTTTCTTGCTTTTGAATTTTATACAAGTGGCTTTCAGCCCCCTTTTGGGGAAATAATTCCCACTACTGAACTGGTATAACTTGCATAAGTTAGTGATGTATAACAGATCTCTCCAATGCTTTTTAGCATGTCTTTAAAATATACATTAACACAGCAGCATTACTGTTGAGCTGGGATAACTCTACACACATCCAAATTTAATTAACAGTGAACACTAAAAAATTTAGTTACTGGCTAGCAGTGTATGATCTGTAAGTGCAGAAGACAGTCACAACATTAAAAGCTAAAGGCATATTTCCCTATATAGTAGATAATATATTTTGATTCAATTCTGGTAAAAAGCTGAACATTAGGGAATGTGCACTGAGATCTAATTTTCATGAAGCAGCTTTAATTTGAACATGTATATATATACATACATATATATATATATATATATATATATATATAT